ATTAGATTATTTTCATAATATTTGTTTTGTTGCCATCGTCATATGTTTGAAAAATGACTCATTTCTGTTAAAACAAAAAACAAGCTGTTACATATTTTTTTTCTTTTCTTTCTCTCCTATATGCGAAAAACGTGAGTAGAAAAAATCGAGCTTGGGTTGCTATTCTTATACATCTTTATAGCTGCATGGCGTCGAAAAAATCCAAGAATGATGTTTTAACAAAAAAGACTGCTAGTTTATCACTCGATGAAAATATTAATATATGTACTCAAACGACCAATTTTTATGCAACTCGAAATGAGACTAATAAAATTAATTTTGCTCGTCTTGAAAAAGGACTTCTTTTATTTATTTATGTTTATGAAACAGCAAAAGAAAATTTAGCAATTGAAATGGCTCTTTGGGATCATCGTCTTTGTTTTTATATGATCAAAGATGGAAAATGTACTAAACCATCTGGTGAATGTCATCATGAACATCAATCAACATATCGACAAACAAATCTTTGTTCTTTCTGGTATATAAATAATTCATGTACATTTGGTTCCAAATGTAAAAATTCTCATAATTTTGAAGAAGTATTAAAATATCATCATTTTATTCGTACAGAAACTGAAATGAATGTATATAAACTTATTCGATTTATTCGAAATTTTGCTGGACATTATATTGATTCAGCAATTAAAGATTCAAATGATCAACAAGATTTATATAAAGATATCATTGTTGTTATGGTTCATTTAGTGCATATTTTAAGTCCTAAACAACAAAATTCAATTGAACATCTGAATTTATTTCTTGAAACAACAACAATAAATCAATTAATTCCACAAGAAGATCTTCTTGTTGAACTCAAAAAACCTTATGATGTTCCAGAAATATTTTTGGATCTTGGTATGAATTTTAATACTTATTGGTATCGACGAGGTGTAAATAAACAATGTATTGATTTTAATCGATTATCATCTGAATTTATCTTATTTTTCAACAATATCTTTACTGAATACTATGAAGGACGTCTTAAATCACGTGGTGCCAAGGCACCTTGGCGTGAAAATCAGAGAAAGACATAATTGTTGAATGTTTTCATTTATTATTTAATAAAGTTAATATATCGTGAAATCTTAAAAGTTCAATAATTATCAACATTTAATATATATATATATACATAGTTAGAGTCCAAACTGAAATCATGTCCAACGTCGGATTCGGATTCTTATTGATGAGCTGAGAGAAATCTACGACATTTCAACTAAAAAATCATTAGTTGATCAATTGTGTTTAAATTCGCAAAGTTATAGACGGTTTTGTACACAAAAAATCACCAATACTTCGTGGATTAACTAAATTGATCAACTGACCATTGTATTAGAGTGCGGATGTGATTGAACGAAATAGAAAATCAGTATTACATTCAAGATTAGTCTATAGTTTGATTGAGTTTAGATAGACTGCAATTCTTTTGAGTATGTGACAAACGACTTGAATTGATTCAGTATCATTTGTAAACATGTACAGGAAAATTCATAGTTTATTGTAAAATAACGATCTTATACCACGAATAATATTTCATTTTGATTTTTTTAAAAATAAAATGGTTCTATTGCGTTGGTTGGATTTTGGTCGGTCTAATATACTACATATTATAGGTTGATCTAGTCATGATGTTCAGAAATTTCGGAAGGATGCTTCCTCTAGCGAATCAATAGCAGATTAAGTAATAGTATCAAATAAAACAATTTCAAATTGATTGCCCTACACCGATAATGTGACTGTTGATAAGAACGACAATGTCTAAGTGGCAAACACATTTAATAATAGAATTTGAATTACGGGCCAGTAGATCATCTACAGGAATGACAATAGCAGACAGAGATAATTGAAAAATAAAAGCATCAATTTATCAAGAAATCTTTTTTCTTCATAAGCACAATCATTCTTTGACTATTTCTTAGATATCACGAATGTACATACTATTCTTGTATTGATTGATTTAGACTGATCTATTATTGTCAAATAGTCTTATGATTGACAATTATTATGCTACTAATGTTATTCATTTGAGCACTCTGTGCCTTTACTTGGATGTCTATTACTGATGATATCAATAGAATGTTTAGCAACACACTGATAAAACTCAACAATACCCAAAGATGTAACATGGAATCTAGTGAGTAATACGTATGTCATCAATCCAAATAACCATCGAATTCAATATTTTGCAGTAGTTAAAATACATGAAATAACAGTTATGGATATTACTGGTATCGGTAATAGTAATTCTACTTTGCCCAACAATTCTGTTTTTTTCGGTAATACTGAATAGCCAACTCAATGTGTATATAGCTGACGCTTTTTTTTAAGACAAGTACAACAATTTTTATATTATTGAAAAAGCATATTTATTCAAGAATTGTTTCTTTTTTTATTATTATTTATACTTTCTTATTTTCATACTTGTACAATTTATCTTCTTCAATCTGTCTCAAAATAATTACCAATGCTTTATTAGATGTCCTTTTCTATATTTCCAAGTTTAGTATGTATATAAAATTCTATTTTAACTTTTTATTGATTTTCAGTACTCAATAATAACTATTATTTCAAAGATTTATGAAAAATTTACACCATTAGAAAACGATATAAAATCTAAAGAATTTATTATATTCGATATGTTATAAGAAATATTAATGTTTCGTAACTATTGTGTGTTCATTATAACTAAATACGTTCTTGTAATTCTTTGAATAAATAGAGAAAATAAAATAATTCAACTAAGTAAAATATATCTCCAATAGAAATTGAAATAAGAAGCCCTTATAAAGTATATATTTTCTAACGATAGTATAGAAGAAACCTATAATAAATCTATTTTTCTTTCATCAATGAAAAAGAAAGTCAAACAGTCATACAACATTCAACAATAAAAAAATACTGATGTCAGTTCATGTACATGTACGTGATCATCCGCCAGTATCTAACATTCAATCTATGAATACACTCAACAATCAACTAAGTTCACAATCAACTCATGTCCATGTTGTAAAACGTGATCGACATTGTCGTCGTCGATCACATAAACATCTAGTGAGTTTATCACTCATTTTCTTGTACTCTATTTCTCACCATTCACTCGATGTAGTACCATCATAATCAATTAACAAGAAAAGAAACTCAAGCAACGAATAATATCAAGGAATCTATTGCTTTCCAAAAAAATCTAAATTCAGTATAATTTTTTTAAATATTTTCTAATGTTAATTGTATTTTTATTTTTACAAAAAACCAGGACTCGACTATTCTCAGTACATCTTATCGTCAAAATGAATCCAATAAATCATTGATTTCTCGAACGAAAACTGCAAAACGTCCAACATCTGTTTTATCAATTTTGCAACGTCGAAGTTTATCAATCTATGTATTTATAAATAGTTTTATTGTCTCCAAAGGTAAAGAAAATGTGAGCGTTCTTTTCTTTTTTTTTTGTTATAGTCAAATCAAAATTCAAGACATTATAAAGATTCCGAAGACAACTCGACAAAGGAAACAATAGAATCGAAAATTACTAATCGTAGTGAGGTATCGTATTTTACATAGAAATGGTATTTTTTTTTTCTAATAGTTAACTTCTAAAATGAAAATAGCAGACAAATGAACGACCAGATTGGACAAGTTTTGAAAATAGACATCATCGAAAAGATAATAGCAATAAAAAGAATAAGTCAATATGATTTAATTTTTTTTTTGAATTTAAAACATTTCTTTAATCATTGATATTTCTTTTCTATAGATGTTCATGGCAACGTATAATCATATCTGTAGCTATAGGTCTTGTTCTGAGTATAGCTATTGCTGTTACTCTTGGCGTTTTATTGACTAAATCAAAAGCAACGACAAGTAAGCAAATAGAAAAAAATTTTCTTCTTAGACGTTTTTACTTTTATAGATACAATGTCTGTTCTTCGTTGGAATCCAACGGCTATAACCATAGCTGGAAGTACAGGTCAAAAAGGAAATGCTTCAAATCTACTTTACGTACCTTTTGGTTTGGCATTAGACTCTTCTAATGCACTCTATATAGCTGATGGATTTAACAATCGAGTGCAGAAATATTCAAGTGGTCAATCGTTTGGTGTTACTGTTGCTGGTCAAGCAAATGGATCTTGGAATTCAACATCCAGTTATTTATATTTTCCCAGTGATGTTACGGTTGATTCGAATGATAATGTCTATGTTACAGATACATTTAATTATCGTCTTCAATTATGGACTAGTGGATCATCTACAGGAACATCTGTTGCAGGAACGGGTAAAATAAATCAATTTCAATAATAGAATAAAACAAAAAATCATTTTGTACTTTGTAGGTATTTCTGGAAGTACCAATAATATGTTGAGTATAGTATATGGAGTGACACGTGATCCAAATTCAGGCACACTTTATATATCAGATACAGGCAATCATCGTGTAATGCGTTATCTTTCAGGTGCTTCATCAGGAACTGTAATTGCAGGTGGTAATGGAGCTGGATTAAGTATTACACAATTATCAAATCCAATAGGTCTATGTTTTGATTCGTCAACGAATAGTCTTTTAATTGCTAATTATGGTGCTAATAATATTGTTCGTTGGATAATAGGTGCTCAAAATTGGACACTTGTTGCTGGTAATTTAAATGGATCAAGTGGCATGACATCAAATGAACTCAATCAACCAACTGATGTTACATTAGATTCAATGGGTAATATTTATGTTGTTGATATGGGCAATAATCGAATACAATTTTTTTCGTATGATCAATCAAATGGTACAACAATTGCCGGTGTGACAGCTTCAAATGGTAATGATTCAATTTTACTCAACAATCCGTATTCGGTAGCACTCGATAATCAATTCAATTTATATGTAGCAGATACATATAATCACAGAGTACAAAAATTTCTTCAATATTAACGATAAAATAAAAACATTTGAGAATATCAACAGTGTCTCTCAAACATTGTAGAATATATATTATTGTTTTTTCTCGGAGAATGAAATTTCATGTCAATCATAATTTCTATTCATTTATGATCAATATGAAAAAGATAATAAATGAGTTTTTTTCTTATACTTAACTTCAATTTGTTGTTAAATCATACGACCTCTTTCAATATTGAAAAGAACAACATCATTTTCTCATCCAGTATTGTTGTTTGCCTTGTCTAACGCTTGACTCGATTCAGATTTGCTCCTTACTTTAGGCTTTGATCGATACTGAAAAAATATTCATCTATGATCATTCTTGTTGCATCCGTAGACACTTATATAGCACTATGAGAAAAACTATAACAAATGTGTTTCAAAAAAAGATGAGCTGTCAAAGTACAAAGAAAAAACTATTTCAATGATTGTTGAGAATGTAAACGAGCCGTGCGATAATTACTTGCTCATCATTTTTCAGATTGGATCTATTCATTGTGTAATATAAGTACATAATAATCCATTGTAGAGCTAAGAAATCTATTATTAAAACTTTTTCAAAATTCATTCGAACAAATTGATTGCATCATCAATTTGTGTCTATCACATTTACCATAACCTAATATGAGAGATATTTTCTTCAAATCGAAGTCAAAAAGAAAATATTCTTATTACTGATCGACAATTCTCAATTTTATTTCGATATGTAAATAACATACATATAAACACCATTCTCGATTGCAAAGTTTCATTAAGTATAATGTAGAAAATACAAATTTTTCGACTGAGCGTAATAGAATGTATTTCACATGTTGATTGCGATGATTATGTATGCGAGCAATGAAACCAAAGAGACAAAGAATTGTAAATCTCAATGAAAAATGAATAACAAATCGATTTTGAATTATATCAAGAATAACGACGATTGAACTAGATAATGAGAGAATGTTACTTTTGAAGTTATTACAAAACGTTCTTTCTGTGCCGAAAATCGTTATTACATTCTATGTAGGATGCAATATTACAATTGATAAAACTTAATTGAGTATTTTTATATAAATATAAACAAATACAAGATAATATGAGGAAGCTCACAATAAAAAGAGAAAAAATGTATTTAAAGTCAATAATCTTATAAAATAGGTCGTCATCGTGTCATTTAATCTCAGACCTATACAAAAGAAATATTAAATCTTTTTTTTTCATTATCGTACAAACTTATATTCAAATATTTTTCAAATTTTATCTTTTCTTTTAGTAAAAGATATGATTTATAATTCATATTAAAAAATTTATTTTTTCAACTTTCGGCGAAAGTTTTTTTTATTCTTATATTCCATATTCTTTCTTTCCAATATAAGACTAAATAGAAACCAAGTCTATTTGGATATCGAGGTCAAACAGATTTGTACTTTTCTTATCCTGTTCTGTAATATTTATAATTAGGACAATAAAAAACAGAACAGCATGAAAATGAAAAAAGATTTCATCTGTTGTGAATAAGTTGACATTATTATCAATATCGGCATTTGAGCAAAGTAAAAACCGTTTTGAAAATATTTATCCATATGACAAGAAATAATGATGTACAAATTAAAATAGAAAATGACAATCATTTATCTCAATATAATGATCATGTTCTTTTTATCTATATTAATCAACGGAAAAATCATTCGATTGCAAAAATTCAACTAACAGCTCAACAAGCTCGAAATGACCTTCAAGAAATTTTTAATAAAAAACGACAAGATTTTGTTAATTTATTAAATCAAATCAATAAAGAAATTGATACAAATTTAAATGGAAATATTAATCTTTTGAAATGAAATATATTTTAATATTGATTAAATCATAGAAAATACTCAAAGAAAAGGTTGGAATTAATTAATAAACAATGCAAAAATCAATAGTTGAAATATTTTCTTATCTTTTAGATCAAAGAGGTGATTAATATACTACAACCTTATCAATATAAACCACGTTATATGACAAAAACATGAAATTACATTTTGTTGTTATTAGACTAGAACTATTGATGAAATTTTCTTTTCATTAATCAAAGTCTAAAATATTGGAAAACATTAATCATCTATATATTATATTCACTATATTTTTAACGAAAATTTTCACAGGTTTAACACTTTATTTAAACGATCATATCAGATTGTAAATGGTGAACTTTATTATTAAGAACGAATAGCAAAAATAAAATTTGTTTTATGTAAATGCTACTGAAATTGATCTACTATCTCTCGTACTCTAATAGAATTCATATAAAATTATTCATGAATATGAAGATCAAAAAATATCTATCAAATAATTGCACTCATCCGATTAAGCTAATAATCAACTATAGAGTGAAGTTTACAAAATGAATTTCTTTTTAGCAAACATTGTTTGAGATTTAATAATAGCTTTTTTGAATTGAACTGAACTGTTTCAAAAAATTTTATTCCTATGAATCGAACAAAATTATTCTGTTTTCTGAGAATTTTTCTTCCAAAATTATAGTACTATATCGAATTTCAAATCTAAATTCGAAGCTAAAACTATATCATATAAAATTTTAAGGCTTCATATTTATGGTACGTCTCGTTTGGAGTATAAATCCTTCATATACGTACTCAATACACTATATCAATTGCTGTAACACCTATAATGAAGTGACTAATAAGATGCGAAGAAATCATTTCTTTCAAAAAATAGATATTATTCCTTTTGTCTGTTGATTTCTTCATGAATTTATTCCTATACAGAAAAATAAAGGTCATGTTAAGTCATCAAAACGGTAAAAATTTCATCAATACAGTAAATGTTATTGCACAACTTCTATATCATTCCATGATAAATGAGTCGTCAAAAGAATAAAGAAATGAAGGTCCGAAACGCATGAGTTTTCTTTATGAAAGGTGTAGAGTAGGTGGGAGATGACTTCTTAATTGAGTTGTCGACAATGGAACACCACTACTTTCAAAATCCCCCTAACTTCTCATGCATCAAATATGACCTTCATTTATATTTTTTTGAAGGATATTGTGATAGTTTTTACTGTCTGTTACATATATTTGTACGAATAATTAAAGTTTTACTAATTGAAAAATTATATATAGTTTTAACAAGTGACGAAATATATTCGAATCGTTTTGATACAATTGCAAATAATCTACCAATCGTTTTACATTATGTAACTGTTGAAGGATAAATAAGAAATTAAGTGATTGAACTATTGCCCATTTCAAAAAACGAAGAAGAGTAGCTATTTTTTCAAATAAATAAAAAAAATCGTACAGCTATCAAGTTCGAATTTTCCGCATTCGAAAGTGGCTTTCTCACTGTATCGATGCATATGAAATTTTTGAGGTTCAGTTCATAAGCAGGAACTTATTCATAGTTACCTTTAAAGACGAGACTCTAACTGTATCATAATGGAATGATTTTTTTTATTGGCGCAATGCACTAGAACCGTGAATTGATGATCTACAAATATAGAAAAGGCTGTAGTTTTCATTGTAATTCGCTCAGAAGCTATGAGTATAATACTGATAGTAACTGATCGAGTTTTTGTCAATTTCATCTAACGAACAATATTTCTCAAATTATCGTTGCACATGCTTTCGACGGTGTGGAACCGATTGACCGTGTTTATTGTGTTATTCAATGAGACTTTTTTCCTTCATATAACTATTCGCTACATCATTAATAAGCGATAGTGTGATGCTACTTTCACACATAGTTGCCTATCAACTTAGTAAATGTTAGTTACGATCTAAAAGGAGATTCGTGAGTGAGAACAATACATGTAGGATAATAATTCGGTTGGACGAGGATATCGTTGCATTCTTGTTGGAATATTTTCCTAGTATCAACGACACTTATATACTGTTTTCGTGAGTCTGTACTTTTATTGCTGTGGACATACGTGCGTGAAGTTAGCAGTGATTCACTCAGGAAGTGCTCCAGGTCTCCTTCCTCGTGTTCACACTAGAATTCGACATGGTCTATCAAATTCTGGAATCAGATTTACAATATTTTGTATCATAGTTTTACAAGTTGCAAAATGCTGGTTTCTCACGACAGACAATATGAAACTTGGCGAGTAATTCCAAATAGTCATTCGCTTACGACTGTGTTTCAGACTTGTTTTTCAGTGCTCAAAGTACTACTCGATGAGCTCTATAGAATAGCATAATTAGTTCTACTATAGCTCAAACTATATTGATCCATCAGCGAATACAGTTCGAAAATGCCCGTGTTTTTCTTGAATTTTTTATGTATATTCGTGTAGGAGCATGTTTCACAACTGCTATCCTTGTTGTCAGGCATGATTTTACATGCCACATATAATTCAAACTATTCCTTTCATAACTTGAGAAAAGTAAAAAAATTTGTGTAACATCAATTTCGTATAGTTTTTTGGAGAACTCATTTTAGTAAGAAGACTATAGCTCTGTTCGAAAGTGATGTAGCTAATGATGTATCGTACTATGGACAGAGTGTGTCAATAGTTAGACATTTTTCTGAATCTGTTAAAGTTGAAATGATTACAGAAACTGATGCGATATTTATTTGTCTTAGAAAGACTTTACGTAATGTTGATAAAAAAAACATGTTGATTTGAGAGTGATAATAGACCCAAGAAAAGAACAAAAGTAACAAAAACAACTTTATTGATTATATCTTTTAGCAAAAAAAAGTGCAATCTCTGAACCAGAATGAAGTAAAAAAAACTACTTCGTCCACGCCACTAACCTTTCTACTCACACGGCATCTGCATTGATACGACCTCCAAGCCGCTATACCTGAAATTTTATTCTAATCTACCTGATGCGAATAGTGAAACTATTGCAAAACTCGAACAACTTGTCAATGACATTAAAATGTTTACTTTTCCTGATCACTGTATGATGTATATATCGATTTTATCTTATGTTTAATGTCATTTATTTATAGGGATCTGAAAAATTCCTTTTTGCAGTCCCAATGCCAGCCAAGATTTTTCTCTGGTTTCAGTCATATGGCTCAGAAAACTGTCCGAGCTGATAGTTCTTAAATAAATCCAAAATCCATATGAATGATCTTGACTAGCTGTTACTTTAAGAGTGAATTTGGATGTATCAAAATTCAGGATCTTCCGAAGTGAGACTACCATTTTTTGAGCTAGTCCTGAGAGAATTTCTTGAAAAACTAATATTATACTTTTAAATTGATCCCGACGCACGTGGTATTTCCTTTTCGGCATCAACAAATATGTTTGCCTTGTATATGCTACTAGAACATAAATGTAAATGTAAAATTGCTAAAAAAATTAAATTAATTGAACATCTAATAAATTTACTTAGAAAAATAATAATAATCTTATTATATAACATAATACATATAACGAAGTGAAAAGTCTTTTCTTTGATACTTAATGTTTTTTAACAAAATTAATAAGAGAATTAGAAATCTTTCCATGAAATAGAATAGTATTCTTTTGTATTAATCTTGCACATAAACACTTCAAACTAATTTTCGTTCTAGTTCTAAGAAATTGCTTCATATTTGAATCTGTTGCAATATCGATGGGTGTCTCTCTTAAAGCATTAACGCAATCTAGATGAACACCAGCATCACAAAGATATTGGATTATAGTATCATCAACTACATTTGAGTTGGAAACAAATATATGAAGTGGTGTGTTTCGAATAACATCTATTGCATTCACATCAGCACCACATTGTAAAAGTAAACGAACTGTATGTAAACATGGATATCTATAATAATAGATAATCTTTCACAAATAATTATTTAATTTAAAATCGAAAACATACTTGCAAATAAAATCGATGAAATAATCATTTGCAGATGTATGATTATTTAGACTTAAATGTAATAGAGAAGATCTATCGGTTTGAGTAACATACTGATGTTGAACAATGATACGAATTTGTCGATAAAATATTTGACGATCATTATTTGAAATTATTGATTTTGATAGGATCTGAATAAAAAAAATTTCGATAGAAGAAACAAAGAATTTCTGCTAAACATATCAATACCTGACTAATGATTGTTATTAAGAAAAGTAAAGTATGTAAATTATAATCAAAATCTATCATATTATTTTCTAACTCTTCAAGTATTACTGTTATTACTGTCTGCCAAGGCACAATCGGTATTGATAATGATTTTCGTATCATGTCACTAAAAATCGAAGCCCATTGACGCAAATCTTCGATGTCGATAGATAATGAGTACTGTCGATGTAATTTAAGTTCATACAACCAAAAATTAACTCCTCGATGATGCTGTGCATTATCAGCGAGAGCAGCACCACGATATTGAAGAGAACGATGGTATTTTGCATTAGTTGGTCCAAGCAAACGTTCGCGCACAAGTAACGCTTCTATGTACATATGATCATCATTTAATCGAAGTTTTTCTAACTCATCGATTGTTTGACATTCTTGCCGATTATCAAGTACTTCTACAGTTGATAGTCTTAGAACTTTAGAAAGATTATGTTGAGATCGAAGTTCAAGTGCTCGATAGAAGTATTCAAATAATTTTTCAAGATTACAAATACCATGTTCACCACATGCAAAAGCACTTCCAAGTAATTCTTGCGCTTCGATTTGTTCAAGTAATGAACATTGTGAAGAAATAGCATCGACAAGATCAATTCGTCTCTTTTCAGCTGCTAATAATAGTGGAGACATGTGAATATCGTTTGGTCGAAAATTTCGAGCACCATGATTCAACAAAAATTGAACTAGTTCAAGTGAACCACGATCTACAGCAAAATAGAGTGGTGGACGTCCATCATCCGTCGATTCATTCACATCACAACCTAATTCATCAACAAGATAAGTTATCATTTTTAATTGTTTGTTGTAAACACTTGCAATAAGATTCGTTTCATTATGTATTTTGGTAATATGTATATTAGCACCATTCTCATTCAAATAACGTGCCATATCTGTATTACCATTCCAACAAGCACAACGAAATGCTGTTGAATTTGTTTTAGTTGTGTGATTAACTTGAGCTCCATGTTCGACAAGTAATTTCACAATTTGAAAATTATCAACGGCAGCTGCTGCCCATAAAACGCTTACATTTTGAAATATCAAGAAATTTTGATCCCTTTCAACGAGTTGTATATCATTTAACAGTTCAAGATCGAGTTTGGAATAATTAAGCAATATTTGTACCATGTCTTCAAACTTATTTAAACAAGCAATCATAAGTAAAGTACATTTTTGTTTGTTCGGTTCATCATATATTCGATTTAAGTAGATCTCAGGATTGCTCATTGTTGACAAATGACTTTCGAGTGCTTTGAAATCTCCTTGATGGACAGCCGATAATAACAAGTTATTCACTTCATCCTTGAAATCATCATTGTATTTCATCATAGTGGTAAATGCATACAAATGAAAAATGATGTTTTACCTTGCATTTATAATCACACATACAAGTTGCATTTTGTTTTTGCATTTTTCTTCTGTTCTTCTGCTTCCTTGCACGATGTAAAATGAATCATCGTGCATACAGAAGAAAAAGAAACATTTTAACTAAACAGAACAATAAAAGAAAAAAGAAATCTCGTGTCTGGGTTTTTTTCTTTATCCAAAATATTTGATAGTCAAATATATCTCGAAGACGAAAGGGAGTGTGGTGTGTTTACAAAATATCAATATATTATCACAAATTAATTTACCAGTTTGGATCAAACATGGTTCGTTTGATTTGAAAGTAACTGTATTCATTTGATTCTTTGATAATATTAATGATGTGTTCATGAGATTTTTATCTACTATCTTATTATAACGATCTAATGTGTAAGATGATTAATGACAAATGGAAAGAAAGATTTATTGATAAAAAATAATTCAAAATGTAATTCTTATTGTTCTTGAAAACTATAGGATATTTGAATTCATTCCATAATCAATAACTTAAGTTGAGAATCGGTTAAATTTTGAAATCTACAGTGATGAATTATATTTTATTATTTTCGAATCATACTTGGTATCTGTTCATCAAAGAACTCAGTTTTGTATGTTCAAAATCAGAAGGTAACCATGCGTTGCCTAATTTGTATTATAAAATAAATGAAAACTTAAGAACTTCATATCAACTGGAAAATGACTGAAAAAATTTCGAGCCGACATTGCACTGTAGGAAAAGCCAAAGATAAGTTTTAACTCAACTATAATTTTAATTAGAAATAGTAACAATCGTAGAGATTTAGTGAATAGATTAAGAGTGACTTAGGAGACTGAATGACACACGATACATCGTTGAACTGAAAGTGAGAGTAAGAGATCTTAGACAGAGTATATCGTCAGAGTTCAATAAAGTCCTTACGTGGATTATAAATATTCATTCAGTCAAACATTATCTTTGACTAGGAATATGAGCTGCTGATAGGTTTATTTTTTAATTTTGATTTATATTCGAACTCGAATTGGTCCACGACTCAAAATATTATATTTACTAGCTTTGCTATCATTAATTAATTAAATGCTCCAATTGAATCTAAGTTTGAAGAAGTATAGTAGACAGTAGAGGGAGAGAAAAAAACAATCCAATTGTGTTCATATTAGAAAGGCCATAATAATAAACAAAATTGTAAAAATAGTATACATATTCAGAGTAAAGAGAAGTATCTCGAAAGAATTAATGATAAGCAGTTACTTTTCTCTTGTTGCATAGGTGACGGAATGTTTTGATTCTAGGGTAGACTCAACATGTTTTTATAGAATCTTCATTTGAAAGTCAAAAATAAGAGAAGAGAAGTTTTTGAATGCCACTTAGATGAAATATAGTTAGTGATTTTGCAACGAGTAACACAGTGCTGGAGATCAGCAAAAGAATTCTCAACTTGCATTAAAAAAAAACATGCGAATGTTTATGTTCATTGATATGCATCTTTGGAAAGAAGAAATTCTGATCTTCTTTATTGGGAAATAGTTTAATGGTGAAGCAGAAATGTTTCACAAAAAACAGAAGTTGCATTGTAAGCTTCTACACTGTTGAACATGTTCAATCGGCATGTAATAGCTAATCTAGCTCAGATTTTTCGTACAGTTCTTCTTTACTAGTAATGAAGAATCCCAACTTCAATTCATTAACAATTTATGATCCAATATTTAGTTGTATGAAACTCAATGTTTCCTCACAGATGTTTTCTAAATCTGTTTGATTGAAAAAATGTTATTATTCGTTACTGAAGGTGGTGAGAAATATTGAAATTTGTGCACCAAATGTGATGCGTTGCTCAAAATTATAAATTTGATCGAAGAAAAAAAAATTATTTGAGCCTAATCTGGCCTACGAAGCATGCATCTAGTGTAGACTTTTGCTTTTCTAAGCCTTGTGGCTCCACTGCCTATATTTCCTTGTATAAACACAAGAAAGACAAGTAGTATAAGAAGAAAAAATAGATGTTCTTCACATGTAAATGATTCATACATAAGAAAAAAAAAGCGAAATCATTCATAAAAGTTTGTTATTGTTTTCATGTTGATAGAATGAGCTTCTATGATGACGACGAAAACATCTTTCTATTGATGTTTTGCTGCTAGTTTTAGCAATTTTTACATAGAGATATATTTCTTGTTTACTGTCTATTAATATGATTGTCAAATTTTCTCGAAAAAGACGAAGAAGAACTCAAAACAGATTATGAATCTCTGAATCTGACTGTTTTTGAGAATTCTCATCAGACTCCGGTCCCACTACTTCTCTAAACCAACGCCGATATCGTGAGTAACGTGTCTTGGTAAGTCATGATATTTAGCAGTTGTCTAGATCTTTATTAGCTTTTGCTGCTTGTGGTAAACAGATAACTTTCCCGCCATCGGACAATATATCGGATCATCTGCTATGCATCAAATGCATTTGGTTTTTAATTATGTCCTCAAGCAGTAAGTATAGTCATTCTGTAAGACTATAGTTGGAACAAAGAAACCGGGACTAAGACTATCCACTGGAATTTTGCGAGGCTAAGACTGAAATAGGAATGACTAATTATCAATAACAAAGAAACTTCTCAAATAGAAACTGATAATCTGTAACTTTGTTTGTCGGCAAGTTCCATTCTCAAATGAGTCGAAATTATGCATTAGAAATCAGATCTCCTCTAATTATTACCGTTTATATTTGCTACAAATTATTGTAGATTTTTCGGATTGACTTTGCAAGAAAATAAGAAATTATATTCAACAAAAAAACAACTTTTTATAAGATTTTTAGCTAATAATCTTCACAGCAGGAACTGGTCAATTCTGGTCCCAAGTTTGAAATTGAAAAGTTTCTAGCTCTGATTCAGTTTTAGCTACTTGTTTTGTACATCTTCATTATTAGATATTTTTCACTTCTTCCCTATATGTGATTCATAATGGATTTTGTCTTCTCACGAGCCATGGAATGCATGCTATAGTGAATCCTATAGCTTTTGACGAAAGAAACTCATCGTCATGCTATCGTGTTTCGAAACTTAGAACCTACCTTCTGTTGAGCAACCTTGCTTCTTATCTAAAAACTGTAGTGGCAACTATAACTCTTGATGTTAATATTCTCAACTAGTAGTGTATTCATTTATTTGCAACAACATAGGAATGCTAAAGATCTTTTAACATTTATGAAAATTCATGAAATGAATTTGATCTGTACTTTCAAAATAACAGTGGCATGTTGACTTTGTTTTGTGGGCGGATCTTTTACTGATCGATTCTAAAAAATCATTAATCTTTGCATAAACAATACTTCCTAATGATTAAAGCTACTTAGAATCTATGCCTTTTCTCTTCATTAATGACCTGCTGTATTAAAAAGTTTGTTAACGTAAGTAAAGTTCCATAGTAGTAAAAAAGTTATACATGTTTTATAATTATCTTTCACAATATAATTTATAAAAATTGGTATGTAATCTACTGGTATGAAAAAGTAAGGAATGCCCTAGGATATATGGGTATAAGTGTGTATGCGAGCAGGTCGGTCTTTGTGTAGACGCAGCAGGCTGACTGTATGTGTGGAGACCGGAGTAAGTATACGAGTGTGGATGTGGAAATAGAAATAGAGTTGTTGATGTAGTTGAGAGGCTTCTGTTAAACAATACTCACACCACCTATAGATATGTCCTAATCTAACAGTTTGCTTGAATTCAATCCAGAAGAAATAATTTGGGATTCAAAGGTTAACGTACAATATCAGTGCGTGATTGGAGTTGTAATGATACACTGTTACGATTTTATTCTTCGCCGATTATTTTGTGGAACTTGCGTATATTTTCAGAGACAATAATCTCCTACGTCCTAGCAATGGAAAAAGATGTGTAAGAAATAACAGTGCTTAGATCATCCTAAAACTCTGTAAATTCTAACTAATCTAAATATTGCGATATTTGATTTTGGATGCAGCGGAAGATTCTCGTTTTAGGTGTTAATCAATAGGGCGACGATGTTATTGATCTAGCAGAGTCAGAATACGACGAACGTAGAAAAGTATGGACTAATTGAATTCTAAGCTTAGACAAAGCTCACCAGTATATGCCAAAATTCGTCAAGCGAAAGAATAGCGAGCGTCGAAGCATGCTGAACAATTAAATCTACACTACTTGACAAAAGTATTCCCTCCCTCGGATCTCAGCCACTACAAGAGCTGTGGCTCTAGAAACTTGGATATATATAGTTCTCGATCAATGTAGGTCGGCGACGAAACTCGCACCCCTATAGCTTGGATTAGAAGAACGTTAGGATGCATGGGGTTCAGTTTCATTGTGGACTTCATAACTTCAGAACAACAAAATCTTATGACGTGAGGGACACGTCATTTTGTAGCCCTGCATAGTGGCTATCTGTGGTAAAAATGTCATCAAAGTTTTATTGAGTTA